GTTGCCCGTCTTGGCGGACTCGTTTGCAAACCAGAACCGAGGGAAGGCCAGCACCGGCTCCAGAGGGCGGCAGCCCGGGGCAAGAGCCGCAAGCCCGAGGCCGAGCTCACAGGCCCTGCGCATCACCGCCCTTCCCCCCTTCTCTCTTTACCTGGCTGTACTTGGCCTCCTGCTCCAGGGAGCTCTTCTCCAGCCCGTTCAAGGCGTGCTGGCCCGGGGCGGGAAAGGTGTTTCGGCCCAGGCTGCTCCATTCCTCCACCTTGGGGCTGGGGTAAGGCGAAGTGTCACTCACTGCTGGAAAACACGGGGGAAAGAGGGATTAGAAGCAGGGGCCGGGATGCGGAACACTTTGCTCCGGCTGGACTCGGCTCGTCTTCCCAGAGGGACGCAGTGTATGGGGCAGAGCCTGTCCCTGTCCCGCTACACCTCGCTCCCGGGAGCCCCTGGAGAGATCATCCGGAGCGAGGGGGAAGGGAGTCGGTTCCCTGCGTGCAGCTGATGGCAGCGATCTCCGGCCGAGCCCGGAGCTGGTTGAGTCGCTCGTCCCCGCGCCCCTGCACTGGCGGGACGGGGCTGCCCCCCTTCACTCGTTCCCCGGGGTCTTCTAAGTGAGATTTACAGGAACCGCCTTTTGTGCCGAAAGGTGAGCGCGCGAGTCTGAGGACAAATGATACCCCCTGTTAGAATTAACCTTGACATGGCTTCAGATGAACCAACCAGGCTTCAAACAAGATTGGGACGAAAACAAACCAAAACAAAGAAAGAAAGGGGAAAAAACCAAACAAAACCAAACTTTTTTAAAATAAAATTAAATTTAAAAGGGAAGAAGGTAAGAAAAAGGGGATAAGTTTTATATAACTCCTGTTATTTGTACGCGCATCAGCCGCGGCACGGGAATACCAGGCTGTGTTGCAGGCGACTCTGCGGGAGACCCGGGAGGGGGGGGCACGACCTCAGCCGGCCCCTCGCCGGGGCTGGGCAAAGGCACAAATCTGAAGTTGTCTTAAGAAATTGAGCTCTCTCGGTGAGCGCCCTTTTCTGCTGATCTCACACTTTCCCATGAATAGGGGCTTCCTTTCCGTGTCAGCAAGGTCAGTTTATCCTATAAATCAAGGGCGAGCAGCCCCCATCTGCGGCATCGGCCGCTCAGCAGTCCCTGCTCTCTGCTGGGAAGGGGAGGGGGGAGATTTTACACTGCAGAAAGATGTGTGCAACTCGAGGTCTGAGGGAGACGGGGCAGATACCGAGGCACCCGGCAGTACCGTCAGAGGCCTGCCTGCCTGCCTGCCAATGTGGTGTTAATAAAAGAGGAACTCACTTTAAAAAAAAAAAAAAAAAAAAACCAAGAAAAAAATACCCAACAACTCCCATTTCTCATGTGATTGTAATGTTCTCATTCTTTTTAATGTTCATTGCCAACACTACCTCTCCCCAGCCCAGAGCAAAGATTGCCAGGCGCGTATTTGTTAAGGTCGACGCAGAAACACATTTGCTTGTGCCACTGTGGTCTGAGCATAAAGTTTATATAGCGAAGTTGAGGGCGAAGAAGAACAAAACGTACAGATGTTTGTATGTATGAATATAAGTAAAACGTGTCTGTGCCTATTCCTTGGGGGGGAAAAAAAAAAAAAAAAAAAAAGAAACAAACAAACAAACAAAAACACCACAAAAAAATAGAGGTTTTGAGAAAAGAAACATAAAATTATTCTTCGGTGCCTAAAGGATCAATTTGCATTTGAAGTGCTGCTGGAACCGTATTGTTGCCGTTAAAAACGCAATGAAAACAAAAATCACAACCCCCCCCTCTCCCTCCCTCCGCTAATTGGGAGGGAAGAGTGGGACACAGATCGCTGTAGGCGAAGGTTATTTTAGACTGTTGTTTTAACCACATTTACTGTTAGTTCACTGGCAGAGACCGAAATGGAAAAAATGTCCCTCTCTTTGCGGCAAAGCTTAGCGAGCGGCCGGGAGACGCGACGCAGTTTCCAGGCGGAGAAACAGAAAGAAGGTGGAAAGGATAAAAGAAGCAAATCTTGGAGGTTTGGTTTTCCTGGACCAGCTTCGGAGGAAAATACAGCATTAGAATGAAAGCAATTAGGTGACATTTGAACTTCCTGCCGGAGCAAATTTGGCCTGATTGCGAAAACTAGAGAAAATTGATTTCTCGGTAATGCCAAGGCGGCGCCTGGGACTGGGGAAAGGCAGGGAAAGGCATGGAAAGGCAGACCCGACCGGGACTGGAAGCGGGACTGAGCGCACCCCGAGCCCCGGGCCGCCGCAGCCCGTGCCGTTCCCTCTAGACAAAGTTTCCCCTTCTGGGATCACAAGGGCAGCGGTGACAGCCGATCTGTACGATTTGCTGATCCGCCTGCAGCCCGCCCCGGGTCCTCCGATCACATTCCCGAGGCACATCCTCCGGTAAACTCAGTGCCCGGCTCGGGCTGGGGAAACACGAGATTTCCCGGGGCAAATCACGAAACCTCCTTCCGACTCTGGGAGAGGAAGGAGCCCAGGAGCAGACACCGAAACGCTCCGGCCCTGCCCGGTTGCCGCTGTGGCCCCGGGTCCCCCCTCCTCACCTTGGTCTGTGATGGAGCGGATCCCCAGGATGTCCGTCACCGAGTGGGAGGATGGCCACGTCCTGGGCATGGCCATGGTGCTGGGGATCGCTGGTACCCCGGGAGGGGTGGGCACCTTAGCTCCTGCAGCAGCGATGGGACTGGGATAAGAGTAGATGTGGTTGTAGGGTATAGCAGGCTGTGGGGGCGGCTGGTGCTGCTTGTAGGACTCGTAGTGACTCTGCTGAGACAGGTTCCCGATTTTGTTCCGGAGGATGCGGCTGATGGAGCTGACCGACGGCACGTTGTACTTGTCACACACGCCATCGGCCAGCAGGCGATCCCGGATCTCCCAGGCGAAGATGCCCGGATCTCTTTGTTTGTAGGTCCGGATATGTTTCACCACCGTGGGGGTGGTGACCCGAGGCTTGCTGCCTCCGATAGCCCCCGGTAGGATGGAGCCGGTCTCGTTGTAGCGAGCCAGGATTTTACTGACGCAGCCGTGGGAAACGCGGAGCTGTCGGCTGATGTCACACGGCCTGATACCCAGTTGCGCCAGTTCCACAATCCGCAGCCTGATGGCATTGGGCAGGGGTCTCCCGTTGACAAACACCCCCCCGAGCTGGTTCACTTCTCCGAAGGCAGGTTCTGCAAGCAAACACACAAACACACCCGTCGGACACGGGAAATGGCTCAGAAGGGGCGTCTGAACTGCTTCTCATCACAAGGCAGATGTCATGGCTCGGGGACCACCCTGTCGGTCGTTCCACGTACGCTTCTTTCTAATAGAGGGATGTCCCCAGAAACTGAAGAAAACTGGGGGGAGGGAAAGGGCAAAGGGGGGAAAAAAAAAAAAAAAAAAAAAAAAAAAAAACAAATAAAAAAAAAAAAAGAGGG